GATACTTTGCATTTTTTAACACACACAAAAGACCTTTGAATAAAACCACAGAAGAGAAAGATGGATGAGTGTGGACCTCCAGGTGGGGGAATCTGAGCTCGGTCCCAAAGGACCTGTCCTCTGACGAGCGTCTCGAGGAATCAGAAGAATTCCGACTGTTTTGCTAAGGTGAGAAGGGACTCGGAGTCAGACAGCCACCGTTCCAGCTCGACAGAACCCAAGGACAGGAAGACATGCCTGTGAGAGCTGGGATGTAGGACCATGGTCAGGGTGACCATGTTCTGCTCCCTCCCACAGTCCCCCAAATGGGCCACTCCGCTCCAGTTTGAACATCTCTGTTGACAGGGACTCACTGGCTTCCCAGTTGGAATAGCTCTTCCCTTCTCAGTAGCTTCTTTGTGGGCGTTTCTATCAACTGGCCCCAAATCTGGCCTTGGAAGCCCGCAGACTTTCCGCTGCCTCTCCGTGGTTAACTGGGAGTGCCCCTCAAAGTCAGGGGCCTGCTCCATGCCCAGCCGCAGGGCCCTGGCTGAGGGAGGACTGGGATGCCGGTGCGGAGAGCCTTCCCTCCAGCGGCAGTCAGCCCCGAGCAGAAACCCACGGGCGGCTCTGAACTCCTGATGCTCCAGAGCCAGGGGCCGAGGGAGGGGGGTCTCTGGTGTCGGTAACCAGCGGCTGGTTTCAGCCAGCATCGCCCCATGGTGAGACCTGAGCTCCTACAAAAGGGGCATTGTGTGGGCTCCGGGAAGCCATTACCCATGTTTATCCTGAAGGCAGTGTCCTGTGTCCTGTGGCAGGGAGCCGGGAGTCATGGGCAGACGTGACCATCCGGGAGGCGGGGGTGGGGGGTGCACAGTACGGCCCAAGTTCCAGACCCTTCCACCGCCAGCCACTCAGGGGATGTGAGAAGGGGAGAGACGAGGGCCTGAGACAGCTTCCTTCGGCCCCGTTAGCAAGGACAACACCAGAGTTGGGTGTCTGGCGGACGCAGGGACTTCGCGGCAATGGGTCAGAAGCGGGCAGTGTAACCGCCCCACGGCTCGCTCACCAGGGGGCGTTGCTGAGGGCCTCAGGAAAGCCCTGGCACAGACTCAGTTTACCCTCAAATCACGGAGCTGTGCCAAGATTAACATGGACATCCCACCCATACCCAGAGTGGCCCTGAGAGGGGAGAGCGAGCACTGCAAAGGCCAGGTGGCCAGTCCTGCTTGTCGGTGCCCTGGGCTCACACAGGAGGGTGGCCGCATTCAAGCATAAGTAGGACGCCAGGAAGTCAGGGTCAGGGTGTGTGACAGAGTCCACAAGCCAGATCTCTGAGGCCATCTCCCTTCTTTCCCTCCCCTGTAGGAGGCCGGGGTCCCTGAGCTTGGGCCATTGCTGCCACCTGACACCAGCCAGTTCGCCTCTCTGTGGCCGTTTTCTCAGTGCTGGAATTCAGGTGACAAGACCGGGCAAAGTTTTCCCTAATCCCTCAAGGGTCCCTCTCCCCCTCCCTCTCCCTCTCCCTCTCTCTCCCTCCCTTCCCCCTCTCTCTCTCTCACACACACACACACACACACACACACACAGAGCACTGTTGGGATGTTTCCTTTGTTTTCACCCAGGAAGAGAGAATAAACCACTGAGAGGACCTTTGGTCCCTGCGACATAAAGCGTGTAATTTACCGACTCAAATGCGCGCCTTCCAGCCACAGAGCCGTGTCAGATGGAAGTCAACAGACTGGCTGAGACGAGGTGTGGGAGGTCATCCCCAAAGGGGCCAGCCAGATCCCGAGCTCGGTCTCCACACTGCCCCCCACCCCAGGCCGGCCTGGCAGGGGGGCCCAGTCCACGAGCCAGGAGGGAGCAGATGGAGCGGAGAGGGCACCCCTCTCCGGAAGGACATAAATATTAGATGGTTGCTCTCTGAGTAAGCTGAGAATCCTGAAGATGGAATTGGCTTGTGTGGAAAGTGGGTGAAGGAACAGACTTAGCCTCACACAGTATAGCCGCGTCCACTGCCTGGTTTGACGCTGTGCTGCTCTTATCGTTGACTCTACTAGGTGGGCACTATTTTAGTAGCTTTCTGTGGAACCCATAATTATTGCAAGATATAGAGTGGGGGTTTTAAAAGGTGAAGGGTTTCACCCGCCCGTGTGGCTTGGCAGAAACTGGTTTTATGGGACTTAAAGGTTCGCAGAGCGTGGTGGCCGGGGCTCCTCATCTCGGGCGGGGAGCGTGTTCCACAGCTCCATTTCTCTCTCTTTTTTCAATGTTAAGCCAGAGAGCCATATATTTTCCTGACAATGTGGGACAGAAAAAGGCGGCAGTACCTGGTGTTAACTCTCAGGTCACATCCGCAAGGTAAACAAGGCATAAATTAACCAGTTACAACTGCGCGAAGGCCTCTGACAGCTCTGCATTTCCCTGGGAAACGCTCCCAGCTGCGACCCCCGACCTGAGGTGCGCAGCTGAAGGAGGCCTGAGTTAGATTTTAATGGGTGGCGTCTTCGTGCTCCCAAGGGCCCCTGCCTGTCTCTCAAACAAGCCACTTTAAAAGTCCCTGAGAGGAGGAGGTACGCCTGGGCATCCCCAGGGCCTTCTCACGACTGCTTGTCAATTAGAAATCGGCTCGGCCGGGCGTGGCTCAGCAGTTGAGTGTCGACCTAGGGTCCAGGAGATCAGGGTTCGATTCCAGGTCAGGGCACAGGCCCGGGTTGTGGGCTCGATCAATGACTCTCTCATCGTTGATGTTTCTAACTCTCTCTCTCTCCTTTCCTCTCTCTGAAATCAATAAAGGTATATTTAAAAAATTTAAAAAAAAAAAGAAATCAGCTCTTTATACATGGGACAGACCCCTGAGGACTGAGCCAGGAGAGCACCACAGTTAGAAGCTTCCATTCAGCAAGAGCCCTGGTCCACCAGACAGGGGACAGGTGAGGGGCGGGATGGGGACAGATGAGGGCAGGGGAGCCTACAGCTTGTTCTTGTAAATAAAGTTTTTGTTTTGTTACTCCTCACCTGAGGATTTTTTTTTTTTTTTTTTCCATTGCTTTTCAGACTGGAAGGGGGGGGGGAAACATCGATGTGAAAGAGACACATTGATTGGTTGCCTCCTGCATGAGCCCTGACTGGNATGTCTCCCGGGGCTGTCTGCACAGGAAATATGTACAAAGGGGGGAGGAGGAGGGAAAATGTGGAACAGATCTGGTTTCTTCCCAACTGACCAATCCCCAGGAATGTTTTCTATTGTTTTTTCCTCACTCGGCGCAGAAGGTGGGGGTTTTCCCTTCTCTCTTTCCTCTGTAACCTGCCTTTATTTTCCTGCAAAGCCTTTTTGTGTGTGTGTCAATCCTCACCCAAGGATATTTTTTCCATTGATTTTTTAGAGAGTGGAAGGGAAGAAGGGAGGAGGAAAGAGAGAGCCACATTGATTGGCTGCCTCCTGTGCACCCCGACCTTGACCGGAATTGAATCTGCAACCCTTCAGTCCTCCTGCCAAAGCTCTAACCACTGAGACACACTGGCCAGGGCCAAAGTGATTTGATTTTAAAAATCAATAATCAAAGTAAGAGTGCCGAGAACCTTCTGGAACAATGTGCCTTCTTTCTCTGCTCTGGTGTCATTAACGCCTGCAGTATTCAGTGATGGTTCTCAACCATTCTCCCAATGTCACCTCATACATGTCACCCACCACCCAACTGGCTGTCCCAACACACGTCCCCTCCGGCCCTTTCTTCCCCAATTCACATTCTGCTGTCCCCATGGCATTCAAAATAATGACGGTATTTCTGTCCCAAACTTCCTAACTCTGGGCCACCTGATCTCTGTCTGTCTCCCTAAACACATCCTATGTTCCAGAACCTTCTGGCTCCTTCATCTGTGCTCCTGATGTTATCACGTCCTCGCTCACACCCACCTGCCACAGCTCTACACCATCCCTGTGACTTCAAGCACAAGCCTCCTTCCCTGCTGGTGTCTGAGAGTCACAAGCCAGGAAAATGTTTCATGTCTTTACTACCCAGTGCCCAGAACTGGATTAGACATGGAGGGGTGTTCAGTAAACATTTCTGCAACAATTGAACCAATGTCAGGAGTAAAGTCACTTCTAAGATACTTTTTGGAACAACATTGTATCTTCCACTGCTGGGCCTGACAGATTTCAATCATTCCGGGCGAGCAGCGCCCTCTTGTGGCTGAAGACTGACAGTGTGTCATTCTTAACAAAAGGGCTGACTCAGTGGGGAGAAAGGGAGAGATGGGTTCAATTATGGAGTTCTGAGGTTTCCTGCCCGGAGGCTTTCTGCCCCCCTAACTACAGAGAGGGGCACAAGGAAGTCATTCCAATCGTACACCTGAGGGCGACGCTCGTGGCTCAGAAGAAGTCAGGATGACAACCAGATGATGGGAGCTGTGGAGACATCCCTCCCGCGTCAGAGTAAAAGAAACTTCAGAGGCACAGAAGCAACCGCTGATGAACATCACACATTGTGCAAACCTGCCCCCCACCCCTGCCCTTCCTGGCTTGGTTGTGGGCATTACCTAGTATCTATTTCCAAAATGAAAAATTCAGCTGTCATCCTCCATGTCCTATCAGCCACCAAGCCTAGCATCCTCCGCCTCCTACATCTCTCTCTCCCACCAGCTGACCGTATGACAGCCACACAATGGCCTCAGCTGTACAATGGGCACAATACCCACTGACCATTGTATTGAATCGTATCAGTTGAACATTATGTCATTATATCATATAATGCATCATCAGGGTTGAATATCATTCACATACACCACGCCATTAGGGCTGAACATTAGATATATCACATATCCTGGTGCCCGCTGCTGCTAGAAGACACAAACGTGTACTTCTTTATTTCCCCTGCCCACACCTCCCTGACACTCAGGCCCCTCCCTAACTCTCTAAACATATTGCTCAGACACATCCAATTCCAGCGGCGCTGTTACTCACGGTTCCCCGAACGCGTCCTGGGACTGCATGCTCAGGTCTCCGTGCACATCAGTGGTTCTCCAAATGTGGTCCTTAGGGTGACAGTAGCAGCAGCAGCAGCCCCTGGGAACTTAATAGAGACAGAAATTCTCAGGCCCCACCCCACACCCACAGAATCAGAAATTCAGAAACTCGGGGTGGGGCTCAGGGTTCCATGTTCCCACGAGCCCTCCAGGTGATTCTGAAGCTTGGCTAATTTTGAGAACGACGGTGTGTATCTTCTCTGCTTTCTCATTACACCTGTTGAGCAAACTCTTATGCAGCCCTCAAAGCCCTCCTGGTGGAAGCCCCTCCTGGCTCCCATGGCCCGAGATAGGGTGATTCGACGCTGACCTCTATCTGCACTAACGCTGTACCTGGATCATACTTCTTTCTATAGGTATTCTTAGGACACTGTGCTATAACTATTTGCTGGGCAGGCTCTCTCCCCTACTAGGCTAAACATGTGTAGCATGATCTGACTCTGCATTTTCAGGCCCCTAGCAGGGTTCACCACCATCTGTGTCCAGAACTGTCTCTTCTTCCCAAACTGACTGTCTCCATTAAAGACTAATTCCCTGTTCCCACCCCCAGCCCTGGGGACCCCCATTCTACTGTGAATCTAACCACTCTGGGTCCCTCATACGAATGGAATCATACAGCTTTGTCCTTCAGTGTCTGGCTTCTTTCACTGAGGACAATGCCCGCCAGGCTCATCTGTGTTGTAGAATGTGTCAGAAATGTGCCAGAATTCCCTTTTTAAAAAAATGGATTTCAGAGAGAGGAAGATAGACAGACACATCAATGAGGAGAATCATTGATCGGCTGCTGACAGACGATGCATCAGCCAGGGATCGAACCTACAACTCAGGTACTGGGAACTGGACCCATGGGGCTCGGGGTGGGTGGGCTGATGCTCTAACCACTGAGCCACACCGGCCTGGGGAAGTGCCCACATTTATCACGTGTGGTACTTCTGCCCTGCCCTGTGTGGGCTTGGACCCAGCACTCTTGCCCGCCCACCAGTTTCCATTAAGAACCCCACCCAGACCTACATCACCCCAACTTTAGGGGAAGGGCTGTGGTCCTTGGGAGTTTGCATCATCCTGCTCCATGGGGGCCCTCTCCCCCACTCCTCCCCCGCTCCTGTTTCCGTCTCTGCCTATTCTGGGGGGAACCAGGGTGGGGTTCAAGGTCTCCCTCTGATCCTGGGGAGCAATTCAGCCCTTTCCAGTCCTACCGCCAAACTTAGGTGCCCAAGCCCCCCACAGTGCTCAGCAGAGCAGGGAAGGTTGCAGAGAACACGGCCCACCCTCCGCCACAGGACACCGGGACTAGTCATGTTTCTTCTGTTGTATGTTTGTGCTTCACTTATTTAATTTTCCCAACTAGCTCAAGAGGAAAGCATTTGCAAAACCATGTTATTGATGAGAGCCTGAGGCTCAGAGACACTAAGAAACCGCATGAGGTCACACAGGGAGCACTGGGTCACCTTCCTCTTGCTCTCTCTGACTCAAGTCTAAATTAGGCAGTGCTGCCCACGACGTATCCCCCATGTCCCCGTGTCCCCCGTGGTTGATCTGACCATGGAGTCCTCTCCCCGTCGGTTTCTGACCTTTGCTTCCTGGTCACCCAGTTTTTTCAAATTCCTGAGGATGACAGCAAGTTGTTGTTAAGAAAAAATTGATAATTTTAAACGCTTTAGAATAACAAAACTAAGAGCTTGGAAGATCCCTTGGAAGGCTCCATGTCCGAGCTCACGTGACACCAAGGAAACACTACAGTACTTCCTGCAGACGGCCCGCAGGGGCCTGGGCACCCCGTTCCCACAGAGGGCCACGTGACCGTTGTCGGGCTCTCGGATTAGAGGGTGGGGTCTGCCACCCTTCACTCAGGCTCCAGCAGACACTGGGAAGTTGGCCTTGACCCCTCTCACCCTCAGTCCTCACAGGCACTGGAGTGAGTGGCTCCACGGTGACATGAGCCCATGTGTAGCCTCCTCCCTGCCCACTCACAGCCCAGGGCTAGCGTGGACTGGTCCCACCTCGACAGTGGGTGTGGGACGCGGACCTGCCTGCACCAGCTTCAAATGTCTCCCACCAGCGGTAGGTTGTCAGCTGGGACTGGAGAAGGCTCACCTATAGGCACATCCGGTAACTCGAGTGACCACAGGGGTTCCACAGGGACATGAACTCACTGTCAAGGTGGAAGGATCATTAGTGTGGGCTTTTCTTACAGGGGCAGAGTGTGTGGGGACCTTGGGCGCGTCCCACCATGGAGACAGCTACGTGCACACCGAGCAGGACTGTCCTGTGCCTGCCCAGGGAGAGCTACCCCCAGCTGCAGGCCTTTGATTCCTCTGTCAATTACTCCTGATGTGGTTTAGTCACCTGTCACTCGCTTGGGTTGTGACCCTGGTTTGCCGGGAGAGTCCCTGTGTAGGCCTGCTGTCCTCACTCAGGACAACAGCACCCCCACCCAGTTACTCCCAGGTGTCCAGCTCAAACAATGTTACATGGTCACCTCGACATGGTGCACAAGCCCAGCCCCCACCACACGCACGCATGCTTGCACGCATGCACACACGCACAATGCACACACTCACATGCATCATTCACACACACATTGACAACGAGACCACACAGCCACAGGCCAGGCACCGAGCCCTGTTATAAAGTGATTTTATTAAATTGATTTGGACAGACTGTAGGTCAAATAATATTTTCTGAAAACAATTATGGACTTTAAAGCTCGACATAAAATTAGTAGCTTCAAAAGTGTTAGTCATATTCCCAGCAACAGCATGATAAAATAATTAACTATGTAGAAATATAGAACTCTAGGACTAGCTGGAAACGCGGAAATCGGGGAGCCTAATGTCCTCGTCTGGGGAAAACGAGACTCCAGGGTTAGGTGGTTTGCCCAAGCTCGCACACCTAATAGTCATAAAGCTAGAAATCAAACCAACTTCTCCTAAAACTAAAACTATTGATGTCTCAACTGGCTCTCTACCAACTAAAAGTCCAGGCATCTCTAGCGCCTGCACTACTGTGACATGAGATAAGACACTACAGTAAATCGTGGTCAGGAACCGGCCTGGAAGGGGCTCTGCCCAGCTGCGCCAGCCCCTCCCTGTGAAGAGGAGGGAGCGAGTGAGACAGACTCACCGAGGCCCGCTCACGGTGCCTGGAGTCCACCCAGACTGTGACCGGGGAACCACGGGTCCCGTCCTGTTTCACGGCCCGCCCACAAATTCATGTGCTCCTTTTAAATCTCCCTCGTGCACGGAGGTCTCAGTTACACAAAACCCCCTCCCAGTCAAACAGGAGAAATTCAGACACAAGAACTCAAGCTTTCTGTCAGCATGTCGGTGACTGTTTTGGGGGTTGGCTTCCCAACCTCTGTGACAGCTGACGGGCACCATGTGGGGATATGGTCACCCGTCTCGGAGCTTCAAAGATCCTTAACTCCCCAAGATTCCTGAGCAAAAGGACTACATGTGGGAATCACCGCCAACGGGAATGAGAAGAGAAACAGTTAAAGGTCGGCTGCTTGTTCTTGTCACTGGGGACTTTTGGTCTTCTAAACATTCCTTGAGTTCCTCCACATGAGTGTTAATATCTAGCCAAAACATAAAATAAAAAAAGGCCTATAACCGTCAGACACTGAGCAGCTCAGTGTCTGCCCGCTGGCCGCTCACTACGCTCCAGCGCCCACGCCTCTGCCCAGACACCCACGGGTCTGCCCACTCCGCCAGCCAGAGCTGGACCCCGCTCTCCGCTCAGCCACCCCTCAGAAAGGCCTTGCCCAACAGCTACCTAAGGATGCCCCGCCCCCGCCCCCACCCCTCTAAGTCACCACCCTAGTTTATTTTCTTCGTAGCACTTAATCACTATCTCAAACTACATTATTTATTTGTTTACTTGTCGCCTGTCTCCTCCACCAGAAGTAAACTCCGTGAGTAGGGGCCTGGTCTGTCTTCCTCAGTGGTATTCCCAGCACCCAGCCCCGTGCCTAGCACACAGGAGGTGTTTAATAAATACTTGTTAAGTGAACGAATGAATGAAGGGTAATTAGCACACATCCCCACTTACAGGGAACTGACAGGCAGCCCTCCTCGGGGGGCTGCCCAGCCTCCTACTCCTCACCGCCCAGAATCAGAGAAGGAACGAGACCATCATTAGCGGCGCCTCCTCCTGCCACCACTCCTCCCACTGGCTCCCCTGGCCAGACTGAGCTCCCTCCACATCACAAAGGAGCCAAGAGCAGAAAGTTCCAACTTTACTTGCTCCTGCCTCCCTATTTACATTCAGCTATTTCCAAAAAAAATTCAAGTTAAAAATGTGTGATGGGGGCACTAAAATATATCTAACAGAAATGCGGTGATTAGCAGAATCCCAAAAATTAAAAAAAAAAAAAAAAAAAA